GGTTGCGGGACTCGGACAGAGGAAGCCCCTCCCCCATACCCTGAGCAACTGCGACTCCACCCTAGACCCGTTACCTGATGGTAACGCCCGATCTTGACGTGCGAGTGTTTTCGGATCATCCCATCTGTGGGGAGTAGCTGAGAAGAAAAGAGTAGTAAGTAGAAACACAAACACGAAGAAAGGGAAACCTGGTCGGGCGCAGACCCAGGAGAGATGAGAACGAACACGTGCACGCTGAGTAAGGCTCACGCGACCTCCCACCCGGAAGCCATCAGCAATTCAGACTGCTATTCGGGCCTCTCTGAAATTCCTGAGGGGGACCTGGTGAGACAGACATTCTCAACACAGCAAAGACACGCATACTCTACTAGGCAGACACAGAAGTCTACTACACGGCACACTGTACTGTCTGAGAATTTACTGGAGGTCCAGTGTATGTTTCCTAGAATAACATTTCTAAACAGTGTTCTTACATTCTAAGTGCTCTGATTGGAAACAATGCTGAGACACATGTGTGTGTTTTCACACTCATACACCCTACCCTGTCTCTGACTCTCCTCCAACCCTGGACTAGAGGAAATGGCCCGAGCCTCAGCACTTCCCAGCCCTGACACTTCCTCCCTTCCACCTGCTGCCCATCACCCCTCACTCACCACCAGAGCACTCGGGTCCTCAAAGAGCAGTGGCCCTTGCACAATTCCCTCACTCTTAGACGGGGGAGCACCTACGCCTGGAGTAGCCACGCCACGCTGGCACCTTACCTCTCCAGTTAGCAGCTTCAGGAGAGTCGACTTTCCTGCTCCGTTGGGCCCCACCAGAGCCACTCGTGTGTCAAGGTCAATACCAAACTCTAGGTTATTGTAGATGCAAGGCTGAGGTGGGTACAAGAGAGAGAGACGGACGCAGGCTACAGCGCAGGTTTACTCTGACTGGCAGCTCTCCCTGTGGGGTCCCCAGTCACCAAAGGAGGAGGTGGGAGGAGTGGAGGGCTCTCACAGAAGACCCCAACTCACTCCCACCAACCCGGGGGAATTTTCCTTCTAAGTACTTGGGGAAGGGACAGCATGAGTCCTGGGATGAGTATGCCAGCTGCCACACCCCGGTGTCCCTCACACAGGGATAGCAGGTACAGCCAGCAAAGAACAGGAGGCTCCCACCAACTGACACGCTGTACAAGGGCCCAGCCTCCCAGCCTGACACGGGCACTCGCAGACACACCCAGGCACGAACTTACCCCATCCTTTGTATACTTGAAGCTCACGTTTTGCACCATAATGACAGGTGGAGGGATTTTGCCACATGGTGGAAAATAAAATGACAGTGTCTAGGAAGAGGAGAGGACATTTTCCAAGTTGGTGCCTTTCTCACCCACCTCGCCTTAGGCCACTACCCTCCTCGCCCCTCACTAGACTCCACCTTGTCGCTCACGACTCTCTCCGTCAGTCCTGATGCCATCATTTTCTGTAGTGTTTTCTCCTTGCTCTGGGCTTGCCGGGCCAGCTTGGCACTGCCGTGACCAAACCTAGCGATGTAGTTCTGAAAGAGACCAGAAAAGGGGATGGGTACACGTGCAGGTACCAAACAACCCATCTTCACACCAGGTGAGAGGTGGTGACCACAGCCCTTCCCGACCTCATCCAGCACCCTTCCCGCTCTCCTCATTCCGATGCAGCACGTGAACCCAGATCTAGCACCCGCTACCTTCATGTGCGCGATCTGGTCCTGCTCCCAGTGGAACCTCTTCATCTGGTTCTCTTCCAGCTCTAGCCGTGTCTTCACATACTGATCGTAATTACCCTGCAGGGAAACGAGCCAGGCAAGGCAGGCAGCTTTAATCTGGGTTTCAGTCTTGCTTTCACTCAGAGTTTAGGTAGATCAAAGATGACACTGCCCTGGCCCTGGCTATAAGGTTGTGCAATAAAAGAGGATGTGTATTAAGGAAGCACATCCTAGCCTAGAACCTGAGGGCTTTTCAGTTTCATGCCTCTTGCTCTGTCTAGCCTGGGTTAGACTCAACCCCAGGAGGGGAAACAGACCAGTCAGATTTAGGATCTGATAAACCTTGCACAGTTGGACTGCCACACTTTCTATCTGTAAAAAAAAAAAAAAAAAAAACCTAGACTCAATGGACTAGCCCCATAGCTACCGGTTAAGGGAGCCAGATCCCACATGGCTGACTATAATTCAAATCCAGGCCCTTGCAGCTTAAAAAAAAAAAAAAAAACCAGGGCACATGTGCAGGAATACTCCAAAATCCCAACAGGACGGAGAAGTGGAAAACAGACTGTGGTATGACCACACCCCATTGGGAGTGCTCTCTCCCCCCCCCTTTTTTTTCATTATTATTTTGTTTAAACATTTGATTGCTATATATCATTTGGCCTGTAAAGAAAATTTACCCAACATGAAATACACCTCAGACCAGTCTAGTTGAGAATACTATACATGTCATCAGTAGGTAATAAACCATTTTTTTTGGTAAGACCTATTTTATTTTATTTTGGAGAGGTTTTTGCTATCGGGCACACGTGCTCACCAGAAAGACAGAGAGAGAGAGACAGAGAAACAGAAAGCGAGAAATCACCCCCCAGGGGGGATGGCCACACTGCAATCCCTTCTCCTCCATTCTCCTCTCAGGATCTTAGGCACGCACATGCACCCAGAGAGTTTAAGCCACTGGATCTGGGACTTGAACTGTGGTTGACTACCTGGGAGTCCAGTGACATAGCCATTACACCAACTGCTGGTCCCTCTTTTTTTTTTTTCTTTCTTTTTTTTTTTTTTTAAGAATCAGTTATTTGGGAACCAGCAGTTAGCGTAATGGCTATGTCGCTGGACTCCTACGTAGTCGACTGCGGTTCGTGTCCCGGACCCGGTGGCTTAAAACTCACGCCAGGCGGGGAACCAGCAGTTAGCATAATGGCTATGTCGCTGGACTCCCACGTAGTCGACCGCAGTTCGTGTCCCGGACCTGGTGGCTTAAAACTCACGCCGGGCGCGTGTGCGTGCGTGCCCAAGATCCTGAGAGGAGAATGGAGGAGAAGGGATTGCGGCGTGACCATCCCCCCTGGGGAGGTGATTTCTCACTTTCTGTCTCTATGTCTCTCTCTGTCTGTCTGGCGAGCGCACGCGCCCTATAGTGAAAATCTCTCAAAAAAAAAAGAATCAGTTATTTAATTTTATTTACTAATTCATTTATTCTGATTTGACCAGGAGAAACACACACAGAGAAAGAGAAAGGAAAAGTGAGAAAGCAAGTCACAAGGTCCAGGACTTGAACCATTATTGGCCATATGGAGTCTAGCACCTTAACCATCTGCTGGTCTCAATAAACCTCTTCTGTGTCTCACAAATGTCCTGCATCTCTATTTTTTTCTGCCTGATTTCCTTCCCTATACTCTCTCCCTCTTCACTGGGAGTGCTTTCTCCCTCTCCTCCCATCTCTCCATCTCTCTCTTGCAAATGTATGCATCCCCTGGCAATTAAAAAGAAAAACAATAAACAAACAAAAAAACTGGACTTAAACTAAATATACATCAAAAAGGGAGTACCGGGGCCAGCAGGTGGTGTAGTGGCTAAGGAGCTGGACTCGCACGTGGCTGACCACAGATCAAGTCCTGGACCTGGCAACTTTAGATTCACATTGGGTACGTGTGTGACTGCCCAAAATCCTCAGAGGAGAATGGAGACGAAGGGACTGCAGTGTGGCCATGTCTCTGGGGAGTGAGTTCTCACTTTCTGTCTCTGTCTCTCTGGTGAGCAATGCCACCCTATAGCAATAATCCCTCAAATAAAAGGGGGGTGGTACCAAGTAAGATCCAAAATATGCACACAAGGGAACCAGCAGTTAGCGTAATGGCTATGTTGCTGGACTCCCACGTAGTCGACCGCAGTTCGTGTCCCGGACCCGGTGGCTTAAAACTCACGCCGGGCGCGTGTGCGTGCATGCCCAAGATCCCGAGAGGAGAATGGAGGAGAAGGGATTGTGGCGTGACCATCCCCCCTGGGGGATGATTTCTCGCTTTCTGTCTCTATGTCTGTCTCCGTCTGTCTGGCGAGCGCACGCGCCCTACAGTGAAAATCTCTCCAAAAAAAAAAAAGGAAAATATGCACACAATAAAATACTGCACGGTCACTGAAAAGAATAAGGCTGACTTTTTTTTTTTTTTTTTTTTTTGGTCATATGGCATGTGCGCTTGCCAGAGAGAGACAATGAAAGGAAAAGTGAGAGATTACCCCCTCAGGGGGACGGCCATGTCACAATCCCTTCTCCTCCAGTCTCCTCTCGGGAGTTTAGGCATTCATGCATATGGACCTGGAATGGTTTTTAAGCCACAGGTCTGGGACTCGTATCAGTCAGCCATGTGCGAGTCCAGTACCTTAACCAGCTTGCCACTTTCTGGCCCCATGACCAATATTTATACATAATCATATGGAACGTAGTCCAAGAAATATAAAATTCAAAAAACAACCTACAGCAATGATAAAGTTTACAACTGTGTAAGGAAAAAAAGGATATATGTATATATGAAATTTTCAACAAATGCTTGCACGTATATAAGGAATTTCTGGAGGGCTATATAAAAAACTATCAATACTCCTATAGAAAGTACAACTATAAGTGAAAAGGACTTCTGTTTTTATTTTACGTTTTTTGAAATAAAAGAAATGAAAAGGCAAGGCACAAAACGGGGCTGTTGAGACCCTGGGCCCATCCAGCTCTGGTCAGAACTGTGTTGACTCCCATGAAGAAGAGTTGAAGAGCCATTTAAGAAGGCCCAGAGGAGCAGGGCCTGACTGGGCACTGTGAAAGGTCAGTTTCTTTGCCATAAAAGCAAGCACACACCACACACCCAGGCTGCCAACCATGGCCTATGGCCTGAAAGCAATGACTTTAGGACTAAAATAAAACAGGCTGCAGGACTCTTTGTCCATCTTTTTATAGCAATAGGAAAAAGGGAGCTGTAAAAAGGAAACCGTCAGAGAATTGGTAAACACAGATTACTGTAGAAGTGGAGGCCCACTCACCGTGTTAATAACTTCAGTTTCTTGTTGTGCATGTGAATAATGTTGGTACAGACACCATTCAGAAAATCCTGGGAATGGGAGACGAGGACCAGGATGCGCTTAAAACTGAAAAGCCAAAGAACCTGTCAGGGAGGTGCTCAAGATGGGAGACAGTTGGCAACACGTGGACTGAGAGTTGGGCCCAGGAAATCATCTTTTCCCATCATCACACCTAAGCACCTGTAGCGTTACCGTTCAATTTCTGATCACCTAAGTTGCTACTGCAAAATCTATCTGGAAGGGTATTTCGATGCCTTTCAAAGTGTGGTAAGATAGACTGGATCTCCTCAATTTTCTAACTTACTTTCCTTCCTCCCTTCTTCCTTCCTTTTTCAGATTTCTGCCACAGAGCACTAATGCTCACCCACGAGAGACAGAGAGAGAGAAGGGAAAGTGAGAATTATCCCCAGGGGGATGGCCACACCACAGTCCCTTCCCTTCCATTCTCCTCAGGATCTTGGACACGCATACATATGTACCCAGCATGTTTTTCGAGCCACCAGCTCCAGGACTCGAATCATGCAGCTGGCAATGTGAGATCCAGGACTCGAATCATGCAGCTGGCAATGTGGGATCCAGTGCCTTCACCACCAGCACCTGCTGGCCCACAATCTTCTAATTTTCAAAGGAATGGAGTCAAGATATAGCAGGAACAATGATAAGAAGAAGTGTATGTACATAAATACACCCATAAACACATCTAAAACTAGATGAGAAGTCAATCAGACACAATAAAAAACAGGGTACTGAATTAGGCTTGTAACCTGCTAGTTAAGGGAGGTGGATCTCATATGACCAACTGCTGTTCGAATCCCAGCCCTAGTGGCAAGAAGAACATGCCAGGTGTATGTGTACGCATGACCAAAGTCCTAAGGGGATGGAGAAATGGAGGAGAGAGGACGGTAGTGTGAGCACACCGCAGTGGGGGTGTGCTCACTCACCCACTCGTGCTCTCTCACGCTGGTGAGCACCTAAGCCTCTAGCAATAATTAAAAGGAACTTTAAAAAAAAAAAAAAAAAGTGAAATGTGGGGCCAGTAGGTGGTATAGTGGTTACGTTGCTGGACTCCCACATGGCTAACCATGGTTCAAGTCCTGGACCCGGAGTGGCTTCAAATTCATGCCTGGCGCACGTGTGTGTGTGTGTGTGTGTGTGTGTGTGTGTGTGTGTACGCCTAAGATTCTGGGAGGAGAATGGAGAAAGGAATGCAGTGTGGTTATACCCCATCGGGGGTAATTTCTCATTTTCCTTCTCACTGTCTCTGTCCCTCTCTCTGCATGTACCCTATGGCAAAAACCTCTTAAAAAAAGAAAAAGAAAAAAAGAAAGAAATGTAATTAGGGTTTAAAAAATAAAAAAAAAAAAGAAGTCTTGATTAAGATGTATTTCTGGGGTCAGCAGATAGAGTGGTGGTTAAGAAGCTGGATTCCCAAATGGCCAACCTCAGTTGGAGGTGGGACCTGGTGGCTTGAGCATAACACTGGGCCCTATGGGTGTTGTGCCCAAAATCCTGACAGGAAAATGGAGACTGTAGTATGGCCACCCTCCCCAGGATGATGACAAGGTGATTTCTGTCTCTGTCTGGAGAGAGGTTTGCGCCCTATGGCAAAAACCTGAAAAAAAAAAAAAGGAAAAAAAACAAAAACGTTCACACATTTCAGACTAAAGAAAAACAATCCAAAAGCAAGACCAGCCCTGGGACCATCAGATGGTATAAAGGTTATGTTGCTGGACCCCTAAGTAGTTGACTGCGGTTCGAGTCCTGGACCTGATGGCTTAAACTCACGCCAGGGGCATGTGTGCATGCCAAAAAAAATCCCGAGGAGCATGGAGGAGAAAGGATTGCAGTATGGTCATCCCCCCTGGATGATTTCTCACTTTCTCTCTCTCTCTCTCTCTCTTTCCAGCAAGCACACACACCCAATAGCAAAAATCTCTCTTAAAAAAAAAATTTAAAAGGCCAGTCTTAATGTGCTATTTGTTCAATGGCCTTCACTCTGACCTTCCTTCACTTCATCCCTTTACTGTTCTAATGTCGGCGCTATCCCTGGCATCATTTTCTCTGGACTCTGCTTGACTCCCACGTTGGACCTGCCCACTCCCAACCCCTCACCCCTTACGTTTTTAGTTCTTCTTCCAACCACACACAGGCGTCTAGGTCCAGGTGATTGGTGGGCTCGTCCAGGAGCAGCATGAAGGGCCGAATAAAGAGAGCTCTGAAGGACAAGAAAGGGGCGGAGGCAGCTCAGTATAATGGGTGCTACACGGGAGGGGACCAGCTTGCCTGCAACTCTGGTCAGGCCGGGCTTGAGTCCTGAAACCAGATCTAGGTTCTATACCTCAGAGGAAAGGGGAGAGTGAGAAAGAAACCAGAACTGATGAGCAGAGACTAAGGGTAGAGAACGGGGCTCGGAAACAAAGGTAGATAATGGAAGAGGAGGCTGGAATCGAACAGAAGGCTCGTATAAGAATCTATGAGTCTTACACACTGAGGTTAGTGACCACAAAGAACACAAAAGGGTACAGAAAGGGTACATTGTTAAAGGTAAAAGTATGCAGGTTAGACCTACTTGATAGGGTTGCCAGACTCTAGGAAGGAGGCCAAAGAGGGTTCTGTTCTTAAACTCAAGAGCTTCAAGAAAGGAGAAAAGAGCAGACTCTAAAGTTCTGGTTCTCAAACCTGCAGTGATACTTGGGAACTTGTTAGAAATCAGATCCCTGCGTACCAAACTCCAGCATTCTGACTGCAGAGATCAGAAGGAGAGGCTGGAAGTCCGTGTTAAGAGCTCCCCAGGAGAAAAGGAGGCTTACCACACTTGGGATCACTGCTCTCATGTTCTAAGGCACATACAGGCAACTCTCCAGAGCTGCAGATCAAGTCTCATCAATTCACTGAGAATGGTTGGGTTTGCCTATGTAACTAAGGGGACTGCTGGGGAAATGCCGGTCTATAGCAATTCACTTGGGTCTATGCTAAGGAGGAAGAAGCATAGGTATCATACTAGCTATTTAATACTTTATCTTTACAGCAAGGATAAACAGTACTGGGCACAAATAAGGTAGAAGGGGCGTCAAGAGTGAAGAAACAAAGACCTAACTCCACCTAGGGCTGTTCCTAGGATGCCTAAACCCTGTGTGCAAACTCAGCGCTGACTCTTTCTTGACCATTCAGCTACAGAGCTCACTCCCTAATCGACGCAGTCCATCCTGTCTCCACACTACTGACGTCTGTGCCTCATTTAACACTTATGACCGTGTTCCAAATAGTTCTGCTATACTGAGCTCTCAACCCCAAGAGGTGGATAGTTACAGAGGGTGGGGAAGGAAGGACTCACCTGGCAAGGGCGACCCTCATTCTCCAGCCTCCACTGAAGTCTTTCAGTTTCTTGCGCTGCATGGCAGGTGTGAAACCCAGTCCATGCAAGATCCGTGATGCCCGCATCTCCGCCTTGTCGGCATCCAGCTCCTCCAGACGTTGTACATTGTTAAAGGTAAAAGTATGCAGGTTAGACCTACTTGATAGGGTTGCCAGACTCTAGGAAGGAGGCCAAAGAGGGTTCTGTTCTTAAACTCAAGAGCTTCAAGAAAGGAGAAAAGAGCAGACTCTAAAGTTCTGGTTCTCAAACCTGCAGTGATACTTGGGAACTTGTTAGAAATCAGATCCCTGCGTACCAAACTCCAGCATTCTGACTGCAGAGATCAGAAGGAGAGGCTGGAAGTCCGTGTTAAGAGCTCCCCAGGAGAAAAGGAGGCTTACCACACTTGGGATCACTGCTCTCATGTTCTAAGGCACATACAGGCAACTCTCCAGAGCTGCAGATCAAGTCTCATCAATTCACTGAGAATGGTTGGGTTTGCCTATGTAACTAAGGGGACTGCTGGGGAAATGCCGGTCTATAGCAATTCACTTGGGTCTATGCTAAGGAGGAAGAAGCATAGGTATCATACTAGCTATTTAATACTTTATCTTTACAGCAAGGATAAACAGTACTGGGCACAAATAAGGTAGAAGGGGCGTCAAGAGTGAAGAAACAAAGACCTAACTCCACCTAGGGCTGTTCCTAGGATGCCTAAACCCTGTGTGCAAACTCAGCGCTGACTCTTTCTTGACCATTCAGCTACAGAGCTCACTCCCTAATCGACGCAGTCCATCCTGTCTCCACACTACTGACGTCTGTGCCTCATTTAACACTTATGACCGTGTTCCAAATAGTTCTGCTATACTGAGCTCTCAACCCCAAGAGGTGGATAGTTACAGAGGGTGGGGAAGGAAGGACTCACCTGGCAAGGGCGACCCTCATTCTCCAGCCTCCACTGAAGTCTTTCAGTTTCTTGCGCTGCATGGCAGGTGTGAAACCCAGTCCATGCAAGATCCGTGATGCCCGCATCTCCGCCTTGTCGGCATCCAGCTCCTCCAGACGTTCATAGAGCTCCATGAGCTTCTCACACTCCGCTGTGGGCAGTGCATGGCGTGAGGCTCCCTGGGGCTTTCCCGGGAGGAAGCCCACCCACCCCTGGGCCTGGAGCCCTACCGTCCTCATGAGCCAGCCGCTCAGCCTCCTTTTCCAACATGGCCCGCTCTGTGTCAACTTCCATCACACACTGCAAAGGTGTCTTGTCACTAGGAGGCATCTCTCGAGTCAGATGGTAGATGTCGATATGCTCAGGTATGGGCACTTCGCGCTTCCCAATAGCAGAGAGCAGCATGGACTTTCCTGAGTGGGGGAAGGACACTCAGCACTGTCCTCACCATCCCTCCCACCAGTTTCTCTACTCCAGCCAAACCAGGACCTTGCTATTTCTTTCCCTTAAGTCATTCAAATCTATAACCCAGTCATCCCTGCCATTCTTGGGCTATCTTTCCAACTTTCTTCCAATTTTTGTCCTACATTTCCTCTGTGAAGTTTTCAGCCAACCTCCCCAGCACCCAATGTCCATGAGTATGTATGTGGTACTTACCACACACTGCTCTGTATCACTAGCTCCTTTTCCCTGGTCCCCACCCATACTGTAAACTCCTTGCTTTGTATACAGCTAAACAGTCACTGAGTAACAGGTGAGCCAAGGAGAGATACCTCCTGCCTCGCCTTCCAAGGGTCTCACCAATTCCATTTAAGCCAATGAGGCCATAACGACGGCCTGAGTTTAATTCCAGTTTGGTGTCACTGAGGAGCTCTTGACCATGAAAGGTGAGTGACAGGTTGATAATGTGGACATCAGTACTATTAGGGTGAGAGGCCAGGACACCAGTGACAGCTCGAGCAGCAGCTTTCTTCATCTCAAAGTCCTCAAGTTCCTTGGTCAACAAATCCACTTCTGGGGGCGGAAAAACATTTGAGAAGAGACTGTGAAACAAATTCAGTTCTCACAGAGGCATATCGTGAAGGTCCACTTCACACTGAGCAGACTCAGATGTTTTTTAAGCTTTCAACCAACTGCACACTATCACAGATCTGCCCTAACCCTACCCTTTACTATACAGCCTATTCTTTTAGTCTAAGCTCTCTTGTCCTTGTCTTCTTCTATCCTTATTCATTCTCATCATTCTTTATTTTTTAAAAGAACTATTTATTTAATTTAATTTGTTAGTAATATTACTGTTTTATTTGACGAGAGAGAGAGAGAGAGAGAGAGAGAGAGAGAGGGAAAGCAAGAAAGCAAGCCACCAGGTCCGGGACCTGAACCACAGTTGGCCATGTGGGAATCTAGCGCCCCTAACCACCACACCACCCGCCAGCCTCCCCCACTCTCATCATTCTTCAATCCCTAGTCTCTCTCTCTTTTTTTTTTTTGGGGAGTTTTTTTTTTTTTTTTTTTTTTGCTATAGGGCGCATGCGCTCGCCAGACAGACAGAGACAGAGAGATAGAAAGCAAGAAATCATCCCCCCCCAGGGGGATGGCCATGCTGCAATCCCTTCTCCTCCATTCTCCTCTTGGGATCTTGGGCACGCATGCACACGGGCCCAGCATGAGTTTTAAGCCACTGGGTCCGGGATGCGAACCACAGTCGACTACATGGGGGAGTCCAGCGACATAGCCATTACACTAACTGCTGGTCCCAAGTCCCTAGTCTTTCCTATGCTGGCTAGGAATAAAATTTCCCCATGGCTTGACTTTATTATATCAGCTTTCTCCCAGAATTCTAATTTTGGAGACATTTCTTACTACTCAGTTCTCTCCTCTCAATCACTGTTTAACTCCCCTTTGCAGAATTTCTGTCTGCTATAATTTGCATTATTAATTCTTATTTTCCTCTTCAAACACTGAGTGTCCGTGACAAAGGTCATTAAAAAAGTATTTCCGGGGCTAGCAGGTGGTGTGGTGGTTAAAGGTGCTGGATTCCTACATGGCCAACCACAGTTTGATCCCGGATCAGGCAGCTTGCTCTCTCACTTTTCCTTTCTCTCTGACTCTGGTCAAATTTAAAAATAATAATAATAACAAATGAAACTAACCAAATAAATAACAATCTGGGGGCAAAAAAGAATTTCCCAGGGCCAACAGGTGCTAGACTCCCAAATGGCTGACCATAGTTCAAGTCCTGGACCTGGTGGCTTGCTTTCTCACTTTCCCTCTCTCTCTTTCTCTGTCTCTCTCTGATCAAAACTGGAAAATAACAATAATAATAAAAATAAAGTTAAATAGAATAATTCTTTTCTTTTTAAAGTGTCTCCTCCATTCTCTTCTTGGGATCTTGGGCATGCATGTACATGTGCCCGGTGTGAGTTTAAGCCATCAGGTCCAGGACTTGAACCGCGGTTGACTACATGGGAGTCCAGCGACATAGCCATTATGCCAACTGCTGGTCCCTTTTGGCATCTGTTTGTTTGTTTAAAATAATTTAAATGAAGAAATAGAAGGTACAACATAAAGTAAAACTATAAGACAACAAAGGTATATAGAGAATGGGAATGTTGAGGTTGGATGTGATTAGATAGGGCTTTCCTGTCCCAGGCTAGGCCTGGAGAGAAATGTAAGATGTACCTGCACAAACATTGTGCTACTAGAACTTTGTATGTGAAAGGACAGAAATCTGGTGACTATGTAAGAGATGATGAACAGTATTGCTTACAGAGTTTTCGGGGGCAGGGAGAAAGCCTGGGATTAGAGTGCCAAAAGTTTTTGCTATAGGGGGTATGCATGTGCTCAGCAAAGAGACAGAGAGAAGGGGGGAGGCAATGGCGTTGCCACGACCTTCTCCATTCTCCTGTTGGGATTTTGGGTGTGTGTACACGCATCCAACTGTGTTATTTGAGCAGCCAAGTTCAGGACTCAAACATGCCGCTGGCCACATGGTATCCAGTGCCTTGACCACCATGCCACCTGGCTGACTTCCTGATATAGTCTTTATCATAAACTGCCATATTTTCCCATCTAGATTATAAATTAGAGGATGGACTGTGTTTATAGCACCTCATTTTGTAGCACATCTAGCACCTGAGTTGAATAGATACTTCCTAAAACGGGAATAACAGAAAGGCAGCTCTTTCCCAAGAGACATCCATCATAAAATCCCTACGTTACATTCTTGTTGGTAGAATCACTCCTCTGTGAGGACAAGGGTTAATGTGGCCAAGAGCCATGCATACTGGCCACCATGTGCAGAAAGGGAAATAGGTCATGACCTCCCTTCCCAGTTGCAGCAAGGCGTCCCAGCAACTCCTAGATTCACTTGCCACTAAGTGAGAACCTTGTGTTCAGTTTCCATAGTAACAGCATGGCACAAACGCCAACCCTATCTGTTTGGTTCACCATGAAAAGTTTCATGGCACCAGAGATGCTCCGCTGGCTCCGACTGCCACCCAGATTCGGAAGGCTGGGCCCTGCAATGAAGGCTCCCACCCAGGAACGTGCCCCTCCCTCAGGTCACCTGTGGTCTCTCTGCCATTGGCCTCGTTTTTCTCCTCTGCCACCTGTGGTTCTGTGACAGCATCTCCATTTTCTTCGTGTCCCTTTCTGGGCCGCTGTCGGGCTTTGGCAGCTTCCTTCTTCTTGGCTGCTTTCTTCTTGGCCAGGTCAGAGGGCATGGTGATGAGCCACGGGGCAGGTAACTACTCTTTCAGGGAGCCTGAAGGGACACGCAGATACCTCAGCGCCCCGAGTTTCCGGGGAAGGAGGCCGGGCTCTGCTCCATCCCCCTGGAGATGGCCCAGCTCCCGCAGCCTGCGCTCTTCCAACTCCGTCAGGGCGCCTGCCTCTCGCCCACTCTGATGCCAGCCGCTGGTGTGACAGTCACAGCTGCCCTCGGATTCGTCTCCAACCCCCACGGCCTGCTTCACTAGGACACGCTCCTTCCTCCAGGGCCTCGGACTAGGGACCACGTTGTCCCTCGGCAGACCAGCCCGTGTCCGGTTTCCCCACCTGGCGCGCCGCACCCCAGCCAGCAGCCGCGCTTTCCGGCCTGCTCTCCGTCGCCCCCTCCACACCACCCTGCCGTCGAGCCCAGCTCTTCCCGGCGCTCTCGTCCTCCTCGGCGAGTCCCCTCGAAGTCTCCACACTCACCACCCCCCGAGCCTCCCCCACACGCTGCCGTCAGCTTCTCTCCCTTGGCCCTTTCTTCTTCGCAGCCGGCTCCATCCCGATCCCATCCCTCCGCCCTCTTCTCGTCCTCTTTCCCCCTCACAGGCTCGCATCCTCCCCCCTCGGCGCCCCTTCCCCCCAACTCACTGGGCCTCACCGCTCGGCCTCTGTCGCAACA